TCAATGATTCTATCCCTTTTTGTCTTCAGGGGTTATTCTCATGGATAAACAGAAGCTTTTTGTGTGTTTGTATTGGATGTTGCAGTCAGGCAAGGTGGGGTAGTGAAAATGGTATCAAAGGTGAAGTTAGGGAACCTGCGTTGAAGCCCCACCTCTGCCACTTTGCCACCTGCAACCCTGAGCGGGAACCAAACCTTGTAACCTCCACGTCTTCATCTGTAAAGCAAGGGTAGTAGGAGTATCTGCCTTGCAGAGTTACTGGGAAGATCCAGTGAGAACATGTTTGTGAAAAATACCATGTACAGAACCATAAAAAACCTCAGTTTCCCTCCCCCAAGAAACTTGGGCCAATATGTGGGAGGTACAGGGCGGCATATTTTGACCTCGCCTAAAGAAAGACTCTAATGCCTCTGAGCTGTTGAATGATGGGAAGAGTTTTGGGAGAGGGGAAGGTCTGAGACTCTTGGGGTCTTTAAGCAGAAGCTAGGTTTCTGGGCTTCTGCTGAGAGTTTTGTTGCCAGGGGTAGAGTCATCCTGGATGACCTCTGAGCTCTCTTTCGTGGCTTACGTAATGTTTGAGTTCTTAGGACACTTCTTATTTTTTTTAAGATTTATTTATTTATTAGAGAGAGAGAGAATGAGCAGGAGGAGCAGAGGGAAAGGGAGAAGAAGAGAGAACCCGAAGCAGGCTCTGTGTGGAGCCCAAAGCAGGGCTCTGTTCAAACCCTGAGCTCACCACCTGAGCAGAAACTAAGAGACACTTAATACACAGTACCACTCAGGCACCCCAGGACACTTCTTTACCCTTTCTCTGAGAATTTTTACACTACTTAGATTTTTTTTTAAATTGTAAAAGCAATATAGGTGCATGGTTATTTCTTTCTCTTTAAAATCTCTTAAAGCCCTAGGCATTTTGGTTCCTAAGTGGTGTCTAGGTTTATGTAACCCTAATAACTAGGCAGTCTGCTTCAGATCTTACTGCATGGGGCATTCATAGATGTTTTTATTCTAAATGCTCTAATGCTCTTTAATGACGATTCAGTGGATGCTAGAAAGTGTCTGTGGGTGCAGTTAAGGTCTCTCTCACACAGATGGGCAGTGGAAGGGGGTAGGGTGGGGGTGGGGAAGGAAAGCTGGGCATTCTGATGTCTGGACAATTCTGAGTTAATGGTTTACTTTAAAATGATTGATTTTTATTATTTGCAAGCAGAAATGATATTATAAACAGCTAACAATATTGTCAAGTAGATGTCTTGCTAGAGTATGCTACAATGAGTAGGTAAAGATCATTTGAAATTAGCACACTAATTATTTCTATGCAAATGAGTGTTGTCAGAGAGCTTGGAAACAGGTTGTTCTCTGAACTGGGTTAAACATCCCCTAAGAGCTCATGTTTATACTCCTAATTTACTCAGAAACCTGTTGCTGGTGTTTCTTAAATAGAGGAAGGGTAAAATATGCCAGCCCATGATTGAATTATCACAAATTTAGCAGTAGTTTGAATTGAATTATATTTTTATGTATTTATTTTATTGCCAATTACTAATGTAACACATTTGCTAAAAGGAGGCCTAATTTGCTTGCTGACTTTCTGTACACAGAGATTGTGTCTCTAAATGGAAGATGTCCACCTATGCTGTTTGATGAGGAATTATCTTTATGATAACTTAGATGACTTCCTGGCTCTTATTTATTTATTTATGTATTTTTAAGTATGGTCTATGCCCAACGTGGGGCTTGAATTCACAGCCCTGAGATTGAGAGTTGCACGTTCTGCTGACGGAGCCGGGCAGGTGCCCCACTTCTTGGCTCTTTTAAAAACATCACCAGAACAGTACCTCACAAATATTCTAGCTGGGAAAAAGTTGCTTTAAACCATATAGAGGTGAACAACTTTGAAAAGCGGAGAATATAAGAATACAGACTCAGCCCTAATTGTGGGAGCAGCTTACTTTAATCTTTTCGTTCAGTAGGCCCTTCACGATCTCAGAAGGCCCCGGGTTAGCTTTTGATTATCCTTTTTCATTGCAGGTAGTGATGCCAAGGGGTGGCCGAGTGAAGCTTCTAGTAGATATCTTGAAAAAGTGAATGCTTAAATACTCCTGCCTTCTGCACCTCACTCCCTGCCCCTGGTCTTCGTCCACAGGAACTGGTAGATCATGAAAGAGGGTCTGTTACAAGTCTAGGTGGGGTCTCAGTAGGGATTCAGGATATAAGGACAGGGAATATGGTTGGGATGGCCATTGGGAAGAAGGGAGAAAGAGAACCTATGAACAAGCCTAAGCAGGAAGCTAAGAATGGTTGTCATGAGCTAGACCACAGGAAGATTTGTCAGAATCGAGGGTAATAGATACATGGAATGATGGGCACATAGTCCAAGTTTAAGCTAGTCAAACCCTGGTTGGGCCATGGTGTTCCTGCAGGATTTAAGCTTTGGTCTGACTGCAGAGGCAAGATGAGCAGCTCCATAATCAGGCCGTTCTGTGGAAGCTTCGGAGTTTATATTCACCTATAACCTCATAGATATCTCTTTGTACCAGTAAATTACTCCCTACAACTCACTGCTTGTACATTTGTTTTCTAGCAGGCTGACTTTAGGAGGTGATGTGTAGTGTGTTCGAAAGAGCCCTGCCAGGAGGGACCAAAACTCTTGGTTTTTAGCCAGTGCTCTTAGACAAGTCATCTAAACTCACAGAGCCTCAGTTTCTCTGCTCATAAAATGAGAATTGAGATGATAAAGATGTTTGGTTCATCTCTCAGTTGTGAGTTCTTTTTTTTTAAAGATTTATTCATTTATTCATTTATTTGACAGACAGAGATCACAAGTAGGCAGAGAGGCAGGCAGAGAGAGAGGAGGAAGCAGGCTCCCCGCCGAGCAGAGAGCCCGATGCGGGGCTCGATCCCAGGACCCTGGGATCATGACCCGAGCCGAAGGCAGAGCCTTCAGCCCACTGAGCCACCCAGGCCCCCCTCAGTTGTGAGTTCTAAAGCACATGGAGCACTGGGTGTGGTGAAAAAACAATGAATACTGTTATGCTGAAAATAAATTAAAAAAAAAAGAAAGAAAAAAAAAAAGAATTCTGTGGCCTTTGGGATTTGACTTGTTTGACTTGAGGGAAAGAAATACAGCCTCAGCACCACATTTGAGCTAAACCTATGAAAAGCCCCAAAGTCAAAATCAAACTACAAATAGATCCTTTGCCTTTCTTTTTTTGCCAGAGCCAGGGGTGTTGACGATAGTCTGTGCTCTGTTGGGCCATTTAAACATTTGTGGAAATGGCACAAGCCAAAGCGATGAGGATTGAACAGTTGTGCTCCTCGGCCTCTGCAGGTGCAATAGACCAGAGGCTGCTGTGTTCCAGGGACTCCGATGGGGCTGCTACCCCCTAGTGATGCACACACCACCAGCAAGCCGGAGAACTTGGGTCACTTGCCAAAATTGCACCTGGCTTATTTGCTGAGGGCCGTAGTAGGATGGGTTGCCCGTCAGTGCTGCCGGGCTGAGACCAGAGACATAGGGGCTGCCAGTGGACTTTAAAATGTTAATTTAAAAATAGTCCTTAATTATAAGAAATAACCTTAATTATAGCTTACCACAGGCAGGCCGTGCAATTCTGAGTAGTTTCACAAACGAGGAAGTAAGCGAATAGTTGGTAAATGCTGGTGAGTTCTTCATTTGCATGCTGTCCCACACCCAAATTGTAATACTGCAACACCACAATTTTCAGACAAATTACCAGTGCAACAAATTAGCACAATTTGTTAATTTCCTCTTTAATTGGACTACAAAGAGTAGTGTTTCTGTCTTTTGCCCTTTTTGACGTAGAGGCTCATCTTAAAAGCAGCAAGACTTTTAATGTAGCTAAATCTCTGTCTATAACAAATAGAGCTTGTTTTCATTTTCCTTACCCAGCCGGCTAAGATTTATACATTAATTATTCAACTGATGCATCTTAAACATCCTAGTTAAAGTACACAGTGCTGGCCAGGAATTGTTCAACCCCCAGCACACTTTTGTTTGCCTTCAAGGAATAAATACTTAGAACTGTAAATGGGTAAACTCAGTCTTTCCATGTGGTGAGGTCAACAGAACTTAGAGTGAATATACAAAGGATAGAGAACTAATTATTACTGAGATTCAGGTAAGTGATTTCTTAGGCATTTTAGCTGTCATGCTGTGGAATAATTGCAAACCCACCAGGAAGGAATTGCAAAACACAACCTACTTATCCTTTCCCCAATGGCTACATAGAATTTTTTTTTCTGTTTTGCAGTTTATGCCAACCCTCTCTTTAATCATTAAAAGCAATGTTATTTTAAGTATTGCTTCCTGAGTAACAGTGTCTGACTGAGATCCTACAGAACGGTGACTTTGCCCAGAGTGTGACTTCAGTGTGCTGGCGAGATTTGAAGCAATCGGAGCTATTAGTAATGGAATGCAGAGCTCTGTGGCAATTTTGCTTAAGTTCTGTTCACGTTAATATTCCATCTGACTCATGTAACCATTACTATCCAGTCCCATCAGTGACAACGAAAAATTGTTAAACACCATTTCATAGGCATCAAGTGTTTTGGCTTTGGTATAATTTTATAATCATGCCTTTATTGCAGCATTTTAATACTACCATTTCAATATCAGTAACAGCAGCAGCAAATATTGTAGGCATACCACAGAACCCCCCGTCAGTAGGTTTCCCAGCTTGGTGACTACATTCCTTCCTGCTTCTGGGTCTTCACATATTCTGTTTTTCGTCCACTTATGCCCTTCAAGTCTTGGTTTAAAGGCCTTTTCAGGAGACCCCCCGCTTCCACCCTCTGGTATTCTTGATCACTGTACCCATTTGCTTCCTTCATAATATTTGTCACAATTTAAAATGATACTTGTATCTTTTTCTTGTTAATTGTCTCCCCTGCTAGTCTATAAGCTATACAAGGACAGAGACCATGTCTGTTTTTATTCATCTGTGTGTTTCCTTGCCTAGCAAAGTAAGTATGGTCTCTAAATATTTTGGTGAATAAATGAGGCAGTGTGGCAGGTATGCAATGAGGCAGGAGCCTTGTGTGCCGAGGACCTCCAAATTAATCTCATGGTTGCATGTGCTCCTGCCTAGGCCTGTGGGACTTGCAACCGGTATGTCCACATGCGGGCTAGACATTTCCACCTGATGGTCCACATGTACTCCCCAGTCAACATTCCAATCTTTAATTCATCAGCCTATCTCTCAAATCTCTTTTTCCTTCTCAGTTATCACTTGAATAACGGCATTGTCACGTGTGTCATCACCCAGATGAGACATTTGGCCTTCATTTTCCCCTTTCTCTTCAACTCCAGCACCCAGTCCTGTCAGTGTGTCTTCCTGAATACTACTCGGATCTGTCCTCTCCTCTCCACCTCCATTGCCATGACTTTGGTTCAGGTCCCCATCATCTCTGATGTAGACTAGTGCCAATGCTTTCTGGTGGTCTCTCTGCTTCCTCGGCCTTATACCCTCAAGAGCACCTCCCTCTCCACCAAAAGTCAAACACTATTCTCTCTCCTTCTATCTAGAAGTCAGAAAGGACTGGCAAGGCACAGAAGTAGCTGGAACCTTACTGAGTAAGAGATATTCAAAGATTGCAGACATATGATTTCTTCAAGATTAATTTCCTTTTTGTTTTTCTGCTACAGATCCAATGGAATAAGCTATTAAAATGCTTTGAGTTTCTGAACGAAAGCACAGAACTGTGCCAGCAGAACAACATAAAGATTTCCTTTCTTTCTTTTCCTCCAGCATCTATCCATGATGGATGACATGACCATGAATCTTTGCTTAAATATGGACTCTTGAAATATCATAAAATCCCAGAGCATCAGAGCTGGACAAGGGCCATCTGGATCTTTTGTCTGAGGCTCAGAGAAGACAAGGACCTTATTTAAGGTCACACAGTGAGTTAGCTGCAGAATTAGGACTCAGATTCTGTTCTGTATTCCTCAGGTAATCATGAGTCTTCACTCAGATGCATTATTTAAACAGTTGGCAGCTCTAAGACCCGCACCTCAGACCGCTGTGGCATGACTGCCTTCCTTCATTGGACTTCTTTTTCTTATTTTGCTTTGCTTGTGCCTGAGTGCTGATCAGTGAGATTAGGAAAAATCTGACCTTTATAAGTGACATGTACTTCATCAGTGATTTCCAAAGGGGATACTTTGGAGTACTAGAGGTTTCTTGGAGCTTCCCTGGGGGCCTCTGTGTATAGCAGTCAATGGGTCCCAAGGAAACTGGTACTGCCTGCCAACCCCCATCTCATACTCCACAGGAAGTTTTGTTTTCATTTGTGTTATATGGGCCCTCACTACCACTGGATTTAAGTGATTCCATGTTGAAAAAGTTTTGAAAACTGTACTTCAGGAATGCACTTGGTAGTTTGCTCCCCTAGTTGAATATTCCAATTAAACAATATTTCTGTGGTTTTGTGTCTATTTTTGTTTTTACCCTTCTCTTTACAATGATAAAAGGCAGGAAAAAACTTCAGGCTTGCTCATGTGGATATGGTAATTTGAATATTGATTGTCCCAAACTAGTTAGTGGACCAGTGACTGAGGCTGGGGCTTCATGACCTCTCAGCTATGAGTTAGACCATACAAGCACATGGGTCAGGCTCGCCTAGTGTCCTGCTTTCCCCTTTAGGCCAGGGAGTGCATGGGATTACTTGGTAGAAGGTATATTGTCATGAAGAATCTTGTATCTCTTCTCCAGCTTTCTTGAATTCTGTGTCTCTGGTCTTTGATACTGACCAGTGCTGAGCAAGATGGAATGTATGATTCTGAGAGCCAGATGTGGTGGCAGGGGGGTAAAACACTGTGTGAATGTCCATGGAAGGAGAAAGTTGATATTGAATATTGATGTGTGTCATTGTGCAGGGTCCCAGAGGGTAGTCTTCCAGTTTTTGTCATGGGAGGTGATGATGGAAGGGATTCGGGGCTTTGAAGGAGGGACAAACAGTATTTACCACTTGACGATTTTCCTTTGGTTTCCAGAAATGGTTGACATACTCTTGATACTTCTAGACATGATGAAAGACAAGGCCACTCCTAACTTTGGTGGGCTTGGGACGGGGTGCAAAATGCAGACTGACAGCCAGCTTCCCCTTCTCTCCAACCTCTTGGCTTGGTCCTTACCTTGAGGGGCCTTCTGCACATGCCTATAGACACAAGCCTTGCTCCACAAAGTCCCAGTCTAGAGCATCAGCATTGCCTCAGAACTTGTTAGAACTACAGACTCTCAGGGCCCACTCTAGGCCTACTTAACCTGGATTACCTGGAATTTTTTTTTTTTTGGGAGAGAGAGAGAGAGGAAGAAAACATGGAGGTGGGGTGGGGGGAGGGGCTGAGGGAGAGGGAGAGAGGGAATCTTAAGCAGGCTTCATGCTCAGCACAGAGCCCAACATGGGGCTTGATCTCACGACCCTGAGATCATGACTGGAGCTGAAATGAAGAGTTGGATGCTTAACTGACTGAGACCCCCAAATGCCCTGTAACCAAGATCTGGATTTTAGTAAGATTCCAGGTGATTCACAGTCACATTCAAGTTTGGGAAGTATCATTATAGCCCACACGTTCAAATTCCAATGTTACTGGGTTGAAGGGCAACAGCTGTCTCATGGCTACCCCTCCAATGTCTTAGGCCTAGAGATGTGCCCATCCTTGGAAAGACAGAGCTAGGGAAGAGGATGGCACGGGCCATGACACAGGCTTGGGGCATATGGCCAGGGAGTTCAAGGTCTTGTATATTCTGAGATTATACTGTAGAAGAGGGAAGCATAGAGTTGGAGTAGGCAAGTCCCTTGGCCCCATGGACTCCTTGCTCTGTGGGGAGTGGTATGGTTAAAGCAGAGCCAGAGGAAGGCCCTTTAAATTGTGATGCCTAGGCCAGGGACCGGCTATCCCAGTCTCAGAGTGATACTGTTGACAGGTGTTCTAAATGTCTATGTGGATGGGGGTTGGGTGGGGGTGGATCATGGTTCTTTGAGGTCCTAGGTGGCTGTCAGTGCTTTGGTGGCTCTTTAGGGTATGGGGAAGTAGTAGCAATGGGGCCATTACTGCCTTAAGAAGGAATCAAAATGAACTATTGCAAGCAAACTCTTTAGTAGCAAGGGAGCCCCATTCATTGACTTGCCTAAGGAAGGCATGCAGCAAAGATGCTTCCTGTAGTGCCCAGTGACAGTTCGACTCGACCCACTAGCAGCCTGCAGCAGGAGGCAGTTGGGTGTGGATGTGAAGGGCTTTGAACAGCTGCCTTCAAACATAAGACAGAGGCCGTTTTCCTCGATGAATTAAGAGCAGCGGCTGGTGTGGTTGAGATGCGGGGGCTGGTGGAGGAGATGAAATGTGTCCACTGCCGCCTGGACAATGCCATGTTTGTGAGACAGAGGCAGGTCTGAAGTGAAGTCACACCTCAGCTTCTTCAGCTGCAAATGGACCAACAGTCCTTGCCCTGCCTACCTTGCTGAGATGTCAGGCAAGTCTGGTCTGAGAATGGATACAGAAGTGCCTTGTAGTTGTCAGGTGGGGTATACATGAAGAAAATGGTGCTCATCCTGCCATTTGCTGTCTTTCCTTTGGGAGAATGCCTTCAGCTGCCCACGAGCTTTGGATTTAGACTGTCCACCCTTTAGCAGTGCACAGGGCTCTGTGCAAAGCCATCTCTGCCCCTCTGCCTGGTGCCTTCCAGCCCCTTTCAAGCAGATACACTACTGTGATTCTCATTTTTTGAGTTCCACAGTGGGGGAGGGGGATTTTATATTGGCAAACATTTCTGAAGAGACAAATAATTGCCTCTGGAAAGAGAATACTTTTCTCTTCCAAAAATTCACATTTGCTGGTTTAAATTGATGTGACTTTATTTTTTGGCGAGCACTCTGCAGTGTTCCACTGAGCGGTAATTATTCCTTTGGTGTTGCAGGAGTTTGCTGAGAGAAGGGAACTAAATCTAAAAGAGTGAATCCATCTGGTGCATATGTCGAAGATTTCTCTGAGACCACTGACACTGAAATGTTAATGCTAGAATTTTTTATCTATTGGTATCATTTAGGTATTGATAAAATGTGATTTAATGCCCTAGGTCATTGACTCAAAGGCTGAATTCCATTCCTTTACATGGCACTGGATGCCCCACACGATGGAGGACCTTCTTGGCAGAGCACAATGGTAAGGTAGACCCTGCATTCCAGTCCTGCTACCTGACTGTCAGATTGTGGTTGCCCCACGCCTGATCTGTGTAGGTACCCAAACATCAGCAGCCTGAAGACTCAGTGACTCCCAGTACTTGTAGCATCAGGAACAATACTGGCAGGATAGAAGGCATGGCACCCCCCAGCCAGTAGGTGATATCTGGATTAGTTTGATACCTCAAGTATTAAGTGCCCCTGGGAAGAGCCCCTGAGTCCCACGGGAGCTCATGAATCTGCAGCCTTCTTGTTGACTTGATAGTGTGGGTGAAACTGGGATGTGCTCCAGGAACCCAACGAAGGCTGTCCTCCTTGGTAGGCTCTGACATCCAGCCTAGGCTTGGCTGGGCCTTTCCCTGGGGTTCTGGGCTCCGTCTGTCTGCCAGCTAGGGTCTAACCCAAATAAAACCGTGTGGAAACCCTGGGGCTCCCACCTGCCTGGTGATTAGTGTTGCCGCTGCTGGAGGGTCTCTCCTAACAAGACTGCGTTCTGAAATGACTAGCTTTAGTTTGTCATTTTTTTTTTTAATCATTGTAACTTGGCCAGTAAGCCCTACTGGGGACAACTCTGTGGTCCTCCACATTCTGAGTCTGTTTAATCTGTGCTCATTCTCCTTCTCCTGCTCTCTTGGCATTGCTCTTTGGAGTCGTCACTACCACTGTGAAAGTTCTGCTATAAAACATGGGAAATGGTCTCCTTTATCCCATAGTCAGGTTACACATCCATGGAAAGCTGTGGGCATCTTGAACCTCACTTGGATTTGAACCCACATGGAGTTCCTGCCTCCTCTCTCGAGGAAGCATCAACTGAAGAAGCCACAGGGGATTTGCCAGCCTCCAATGAAATAAAATGCTATGTGGTAACAAACAGCTAACTGTCAGGATTCATTAGCAAAATCTGGATGTTGTAGCCTTTTGACAATTTTCTCTTTCCTCTGCGGTCCAGTGTGAGATAGACTCTTGCGGGTGAATTGTCACTGGGAGAAATCCAGAGCGCCATGTGTCGCTGGCACATGGCCAAGGAGAAGCCAATGAATGGGTTACCACCATTTCCCCCAAAAGCTGTTAGGGAAGGTTATCGATTATTTTCTAAATACCTTCTAACCTTCAGCACAGGCTACTGTGGTTATTAAAGAGACACCATCATGTGTCTTTTTAAAATAGTTGTCTCCTTTTTGTTTTCCTAATAGTCACTACGCCCAGGTCCCTCTTTGGAACCCAAAGGTGATGTTTCTTTCTTTACCCACAGATTTTATCCTTGCCCTTCTGGCAAATGGACTTGAATTGCTCCTGCTTCTGGCAGCTGGTTTTACTTCAAGGTCCTTGGGAAGGCCAGACAAGTGCCTTGACACAAATCACTGGTGACCACTGTCAGCCCGCTGGCCCTCTCTCCACACTTATCTCTACCCCTGCCTCCCATCCCTTTCCACAGAGGCTTGCAGGTGGCATTTTTCTTCCAGGACAACAGACTTGTGGGTAAAAATTATGTCTAAAGGTACAAATCAGCAAACTCTGGTGACATATAAGTAGGGTAGCGTTTGACTTATGCAATAAATAGCACTCCGTCATTTGTATATTACCCACAGTGTATCTAATTTAAAAGTTCTTAATCACATTTGTGGTGCTTAGAGCCCCAAACCAATTCAGGGGGGTTTGGAGAAGCTGTTGTGGCATTTCTGCCCCATGGATGTAGTAAATGTTACTGTTCAGTCTTTTAGTTTACTCCTAGTCCATCCTTCAGTGTTGCTGTGGACCACCTGGACTCCTGGGCCACCCTTTTGCATTGAGGGGGGAGAGTATACTTTGTTTTTGCTTATTCTGCATCAATTTCAATTCAATGAGCATCACAGATCCACTAATTAAGATCTATGCCTATGTTCTCCTGCCACATTTTTAATTTCTGAATGCCCGGGTGAGAAACAGAATCCTATCCAGAGTTGTCTTTGCTCCACGCTGACAACATATGGAGGATCCAGAAACATACATTATACCTTGTTTTGGGGTTGGAAGACTTCTGTGGGCTCCTCATGCCTTCTGGCCACACTGAAGTAGTATTTTGAGAAGTAAAGTTTTCCCTTGTTTGTCTAGGCTCTAGAGGAGCTTTCATATTGACCTTTTTGAAGCATCCTGTGGACTAGTATGTTTCAGTTGATACATTTGTTACTTTAAGAAATTGGCAAATGGTTTGTGGTACCTGTTAAGATTTTTTTTTAGCACATATTTATTGAGTACCTTTTGTTGCCTAGGAGCTATGCTGAGTGCTGGGAAAGCATAGACGAGGCATACTCTGTCCCTGCTCTTGGGTTGTCTCACAGGCTAGTAAGAGAGGAAGGCACATCAACAAATAACTGTAACACTAAGCACTGGCTAGAAAATTCCAGATCAGGCACTGGCATGAGCAGAGGTTGAAGGCAGGAAAATACACAACTGGCTTGGGGAATCACAAGCAGTGTAGTAGAGTGAAGTGTGGTGTGTGTGTTGGCAGGAAGCTACTGGAGAAAAAGACTGGGAGGGGGATGTGGGTCAGATTTTTAAGAACTGAGATTTTTAGCTCTCTGAAGATGATTTGAGTATCCCTTGAATTCAAGAGGTTGGATCCATGGTAACAATTCTGTCGATATTCCTAGAACTTCTGTTTAGTTTCGCAGAAGGTGGAAGACAAAGCTATTAAAAAAACGAAACTGTGATCCTCAGCCCTAGGGACCTTGTAAATCAGAGGTTTGAGCATCCTGTATGGCTTGGAACTAGAGCTCTCTCTGCACTAATATGAAATGTATGTGATCTATCTTTGGCCTAGGGAAGGGAGATATTTGGTTTGGAGGAAAGGTTGGGAAGGAAGGATGGCAAAGCTGGATAGTTTTGCACCTACTGCCCTGTCAGAAATTTGCAGTTTGATTTCATTACTGTCTTTGAAGTATTGTCGCGTCCCAGAACATACAGAGGTCCGTATTTAAAACTAAGTGTGAATACTTCACACCCAATTCAGATATAAAGGAGCAAGCAGTTTCACTCATGTAGGTGGTTCTACTTCACAAGTAGCCACGATCAAATGAGCAGCCAAAGATCAAGTCATTTAAGAATGCGTTGCACATGAGAGTCTGCGGCTGCTGTTCACAGTACACCCTGACTCAGGCATAGGTAGCGTTACCCTCTGGTCCAAAGCCATAAGCACTGTTCTTATTGCTGACACCATCTTCCAAATGGGTGCCACGCTCAAACAGGGAGTATGGTTGGGCTGCTGCGGAGACACACGCTGGGGACACAGCGTTTGCTGGAGGTCCTCTCTCCTGTTTCGGTAGTGCTTTTTGGGTTGATGAAATGCCCATTATATTCCTATTGCTTCATCTTTGTATTAGTTGGCTGTGAACCCTTCCTGGGCTGCTGTCTCTCTTGCTGAAAGAAGCACAGCACAAATTCCTCCAGACATAAACAGAGAAACTCTCAGGAAGAAAAAGCTCTGCAAGGAGATGGCACGGTCTACTTGGACAGGTGTCCTGTGGTCACCGAGCTGCCTCTGAGAAGCCCCTTTCTACTCCGCCCTGGAAGAAATGAATACTTTCTGGAATTTAGCAATGATGGTTTTATAATACCCTGTCCCAGTCCTTCATGCAGAATGATTCTGAGTATTCCTGATCACTCAGTATAAAAATTCTTAAAACAAACATCAAACAAACAAACAAATAAAAAACACCACAAACAAAACCAACTCTTCATTCATCTGTTTTGTTTTTATCATCAGTGCTTTGGGAATTATGATCCTGGAGGTGAAAGTCCTACAAAATGTTTAGAGTTTATCTTTAATCTGAAGGAACCTGTCTGAAGGGTCACATGGTAGTTGAGTTTCTCTGTTAAAAACAGTGTTTTCCTCACTGCGAATCCCGAGCACTGGCAGGGAAATTCATATTACAGCGTTGCTGCTACCTGTATCTTATTCCTTATACTGGATCCCCACTAGAATGCGCATATATATATATATATATATATACACACACACATACATATATATATATATATACACATATGTATATATATGATTATTTTATATATTTTAATATATATTAAATATATGTAAAATTATTTTAAACCATCATATATATATATATATATATATATATATATATATATTTAAATCAGGCTTATAACAACAGCAAGAACAAAACAATCAGGTGAGCACTGCTCCCTCTCAAGTCTGTTCCTCTGGAACAACCACTTTTTAATGGTTTTAGCTATTGCTTTTGGTATTTACCTTTGTATTTTATATAATATGGTCATACTGCTATTACTTGATTCATCATTTTAGGTATTGTTTCTTGACTTCCTCTGATGGTAGATGGGATCTGGCTGTCTTACAGCCTATTATCAATGAGGCTTGGCTAGTTTATGCTGCAGACAGACCACTCCTAATTACCAGTGACCTTACACAACTAATGTTTATTTCTTGCTCATGCTACATGTTCAGCCCATGTGGGTAGGGAGACTCTGGCTCATGTTGGCCCTCCAGGCTGATGGAGGCTCCATCACAACACCTGATTCTGTGATCTCTGCCAAATGGGCAGATGATAGGGGGATTGCATCCTGGCTCTCAAAGCTTCTGCCCAATATGGTACAAATCAGTTTCACTCGTATTTTATTGATCAAAGCGAATCATGTGGCCACACTTAATCTGAAAGGAGGCCAGGGAGTGCAGTCCTACCAGGGGCCTGGTAGGAGATGACTTAAAGTATTTAGGAACACTGCTAATGACTGCCACATAGCCTTGGCCATGTTCCCATGTTCCCTATTGCCCTCATGTAAGTAAATCACATATTTTTTTCAAAATGGAAGTCCAGTGTTTGTATCATTATAGGTTGGTAAATATCATACACTGGCAAGCCAATGTGTTATGTGTACATGTCATTTTAAAAATAATATTTTATTTCCCCAGGGTCAATAATTGCCTGATTTTTTATTTGCCTACTATTCTTTGTATTGATTCCTTATTTTTCTCTACAACATTTGTCAGACTTGTCAAACAGTTCTCTGTGTTGTTTTCTAAATACGAAAAACTATCAGATAACCTATAAATTTGTTTTTTTCCTGCAGTCTTCTCATGTCCTGATCCAGTCTGGGATAGTTGCTCTCCAGGTTTGCTGATTAGATATCATCCTGGGACTTCTGTTGTCAGTTTCCTTATTTAGAGTCCTAGATTTCTGGGGTCCATGTCTCCCTCTTTTCTGGTTTACTCACTTATTTTGTTGGAGCACATGCTCTAGTGGATTCCTAAGTAAAGGTGTATGGGAAGTGTACCAGTCAGCTGTTTTAGTAGGTTGTAAATATTCTAAAACCTCCCTGGCTTATACAGCAAACTTTCTTTCTTGCTCATGTCCTATGTCCTTTAGGCATCAGCTACAGCTCTAGCTAGGTCTTTTTCATTCTGGGGCCCAGGCTGAATAGGAAGACCCCTTTTGGGAAGAACATTTCTCATGGCAGAGGAAAGAAGAATCCCAATGAAACTAGTGATGACTCTTAAAGCTTCTGCTTAGATGTGGCATGCATCACTTTTGTTCCCCTTTCATTGGCCAGAACAAATCTTATGGCTCAGCCTGATACTAAGGAGCAGGAAGTGTAAGGCAAAATTGTACAATTCAGTATAGGAAGTAGATAGTGTGGCCACACATACAACTATACGCCGATCCCCATCCCCACCCCTGGAATTTTGTAGGCTCTGCTCCATCATCTCCTAGTTTTCAGTGTTATTGAATAGTCTGATGCTGATCTGATTCCCATTCATCTGTAGGAGACTTTTCTTCCTTTACTTTGGAAGCTTTTAGGATTTCCCTTTAACCCCCACTATTCAGAATTTTAATGATGATTTCAGCTGGTGTGGATCTTTGTGCATTCATTTTGCTGGTCCTTCCTTGGGTCTTTTCAGTGTGGAAATGTATATCCTTAGTTTCTGGGGAATTTTCTTATTTAATCATTTCCCCTCTGTTTCTTCATTCTGAAGTTCCAGTTACTTGGATGTTAGACCTCCTTGAATGTTCCTCTACTTTTCTTAGCTTTTTTTCTCTTGGTCTTTCTGTTCTACTTTTGTGAAGACAAGTATTTTAATCTTCTTCTTCCCCCTTTTCACATTTTGATGATCGAATTTTCAGTTTTCATTAATTTCCTTGTTTTCTGTCTCTCCCTTTCTCATACTGGCCTGTTCTTGCTTATGGATATATATTTTTTCTCTTATCTCTCTGAAGAATGTGTGTGTGTTTGTGTGTATTACATATTATAAAATATATGTGAGGTTTCCTTCTGTTCTTGCATCATTTGTGTTTTC